ACGCAAGCTGGGGGCAGTGTTGCGGTTGTCGCTTGTGGCCACGATAGCATGGTTGATGCGATCAGATATGCGGTTGTGCACAACTTAGACGCCACTTCTCACCATGTAGACTACTTCGAAGAGCTACAGTCATGGGCATGAGCTGGAAGTTATACTTTTATAAATATTTATTCGAATCCGTTGCATAGACAAGGGCAGATAGCACTACAGTGACTAGATACAGTAGCTGAGGTAACGGTATGCACAAGACTGCAGATTCTCCTCACCAAAATCCAGTTTCTTGGCAGAAACTCCATTCAAAGAATAACCAGTAAGAAAAGAGGGTTTAGCTCGTGAATTCATCCGTCACGCATACCGAGCCAGCCTTGGTTTTCTCTTTCCGCATGCGGAGGTATCGGAGTGCGGCGAGAGTCCAAGCTGCGAATTTATTCAGATGGGGCTTCAGGGGCCGGTTGTACTATACCTTTAACTCCAACATGTTTCAAAGCCAATCATTTGTCCATGCATCCAATCTTATCGATATGCCAAGAAACCCCTCACCTTCAAGCATTTGTCACTAAGACTTTTTAAATCAAGCCTCAGCTATCAGGCTCTGAAAAGGGAAATGCAGGTGCCAAGACCCAACATGCATGAAACCCAACCTACATATGCATAGGTGCATGAGATTCAGAAGATAAATGAGCTACCTGCGCGCTACAGATGAGATTTAGGACCTCCGTCCTGACTGAAATAACTGCTCATCTACGTTTGTTTTATAGGCCAAATCCCAGAGAACAGGGCTTTTACATGTACTACCTACTTGAATATGTACGGTACATCTAGTAGGTAACGGTGGATACACCTAAGATAATTGTCTAGGGCGCATACGAGAGGTTATCTATTAGGGTAGCCGTATAGTGACTCTCTGACTAACCCGGACTGTCCGAAGGACGTCAACGGTGCATGAAGCGAAATGGCTTAAATATGTACCAGAGGGGGACTTCGATCATAGGTTCGCATGGAGGTGTTGTAGCGACTCAGATAAAATACTTGTACCTCCTGGTGCCCACGGACAATAGGAGAGAATGAGGAAACCGGTGAGTCAGTGATAGAAATCGCACCAATATATCTTCAGGTATATACCAAAAGCCGTTGTGCGGGCACTAAAGCAGTTATTATTTACGAGATATATAGAATTGTATGCAGCTTTAGCGCCCTTAGCAAGAGCCTGCGCAAGACATTCCGTAAGTGGTCTTGGACACAAGGTCCATGCGTGAATCTGCAGAATAAAACAATTTCTTTTTCATGCGCGTTGCAACTTGCATACACTTGATCTCTATAGGGCTAAAGGAGCTTGAAACTCACACTCAGCAATAGCCAACTTTCCATGTCCTGCTGAGACTATATAAGTGGGTCTGGTTCCTGGAAACGGCTCTATCTTCAGCTCTCTGGGGTTTTATTTTTCACACGGTTTTTTTTTCCATTACAGAATGGTCAAGATCACCTTCAAGGCTACCCTCGCGGTAGCGGCAGCCTTTTCCATGATGGCGGTTATCTGCGAAGAGCCGTACCATATCTACTCCCATGAGGAATACGCTGTTATTGCCTGTACTGGTGCTATCGTAGCTACTACAACATTCTGTGGGAAGAAAGCCAAGATTTTGGGCCAATGCTACTGCGCTAACGTCCCCGAGTTAGGTTCCCTTTTGGCCTGTTTGCACGATAACGACTACTACACCAGCAAGATGGTCAGATATCTTGAAAATGAGTGCGCCATCAGCTACCCAAACACCACTTTGGATACTGATTTTTTTGATAAGGTGTACCAGAATGCTTCCCAGTACATAATTACTCCACCGTCCGATATGAACGCTACCCTCATCTCATATACCCCCATTACCGTGAAGGCAAAAAAGGTTAAATTGATTTATCAATCGAACTACAATAGATGGAGTAACTTTACTCTCGCGCTTGATTTGGGTGCCGGGTTCTGCGCTTTGATGGCGTTTTTCATGTTGGGGTCCGCTATTGTCAACTGGACAACCGTCATTTTCCCTGGATTTGCCCAAAAGTTCAATGGCACCTCCTCCAAGTGGTTTAGAAA